GCCCTGCCTATACTTCGGTGAAATTTCATGCCTTTTGCAAACAGATGGGTGTGAAATTAATTACTGGTATCCCATATAACCCACAAGGACAAGGAATTATTGAACGTGCTCATCGCACCATTAAAGAATACATACAAAAACAGAGAACCGCCTGGGACTCATTTGGCCTCACTAGCCATAGCCCTCGGGCCATTTTGGCCCTGGCCCTTTTTACCATTAATTTTTTACAACTAGATGAGAAAGGCCTGAGCGCCGCCGATCGGCATTCCCTTCCTTCTACTAAAGAACAGTTATGGGTCAAATGGAAGGATGTATTAGAAACTAAATGGAAAGGTCCAGACCCGGTAATAAGACGAGCTCGAGGAGCTATTTGTGTGTTTCCACAGGATGCTCCAGTCCCGATTTGGGTTCCGTCACGATTGACCCGCAGCTGTCCAGGCCCGATTGAAGCAGCGCCTTCGCAAGAGGACGAAGAGGACGCCGCTGAGAATGAGAATCGTGACTCCCTTTCGGGGTAATACCCTGTTAGTGCTAGTTGGGGTGCTGCTTCTATCCAGCTTAGCCATGACTGAGCATCGTTGGGGCATTCTAACTGCCTTTCCACGGCCCCTGCCGGTCACCCATACAGCGGCTGTGTTTCCTCGCTTTTTTACCACAAATGAGACCCTTGACTTGCCATATTTGCCTATGGATATGGAAGAGGCCAATGTTACAAGCTATAATTTGGATCTGAGTGGCTCCCTATGTTTTCAGTTTTGGAGTGGCTCTGCCAGCGAGGATTATTCTTGTGTTACTTTTTCTCCACAGGCAGCTGCGTGGGTAGATCAGCCAGAGTTAACCTGGACACAGAAGCTAGATCAATGGCTTAGGCAAACTTTGTTGTCCACACAGTCGCCATCTACTGAGGCCGCTCCTTTTGCCAATGCCACCATAATTTTCGGGGCTATGCCACTCCGCCATCTTAATAGAAATCTGACGATTCCATCACAGCCAAAATGGATGCCCCGTTGTTCCACGCCCTATTCATCAAAACTTTTGAAACCATGGACCTCCTGTCAGTCCCCCATGGTTATGTGGGCCAGACGAGGCCAATATACCTTTTCTCCTGCTATGGGTACCTGGCGCAATAACTCCTATAGTGGCCTTAATTATACATATCAAAATCCAGTACAATCTATTTTTGTGAATCCCTGGCATCAGTGGCTTCTTTGTGGAATTAATGGATCCTGTACAGATTTGCAACCATTTTCAATGTTGAGAGGAGGCAAGATAATGCTTGCCAATGTTACCTGGAATTTTACGGAACCTTTTGAGACCTCGTTAAATGTTACCAAAGAATTTAGGACAGAGAGTTTTGTTTCCACTCCAGTTTGTGTGATTCCTCCGTTTTTGTTCCTGCTGTTTAAATCTACAGGCCAACCAGTGTCATCTTTGAATTGTTCTGAGAAATGGTGCAAATTGGCACAATGCTGGAATGCCACTGATGACTGGGATGGAGCTGTTGTGATGCACATCCCGAGATGGCTTCCCTGGCCCGTGGACACCCCCACTGCTCTGACCCTATATCGCCAGAAGAGGGATTTTGGGATAACGGCTGCTCTGATAGCCGCTATTACCGTAGCTCTTGCAGCCTCCGCCACGGCGGCCGTGGCCCTTTCCACCACTGTACAGACGGCCACTGCCTTAAATAACATTTCTGCTGCTACAGCCCAAGCCTTACAAAATCAGGCCCACATTAATAGCCACCTAAAAGGGGGCCTGATGGTCTTGAATCAGAGAGTCGATCTGGTTCAGGACCAGGTCGACACCCTGTGGGAAGTAGCACAATTAGGCTGTCAATGGCGTCTTCCTGGCCTATGTGTGACATCGGTTCCTTTTGTTAATGGCTCACATGCTGCTAATTTGTCCAGACAACTGTCTAGTTATCTTTTAGGAAATTGGACCAAAGAGTTCGACGAGCTTCAACAAGATCTAAGGATCGCGATCGTGCAGATTAATTCCACCAGAGTCGATCCTTCAATAGCACACTCCATGACAGACTGGCTCAAAACCGCTGCAGCCTCTATAAAGGAATGGGCGGGAGTGGGGGTCTTGCTCTCGCTCTTATGCGGCGGGTTGGTGCTTGCCCTTTTTTGCCTCTATCGCATAAGACAGAGGGCTGCTCAAGATCGTGTGATTATCCGCCAGGCCCTTCTAGCCCTTCAAGAGGGTGCCTCCCCCCAGGCTTGGTTAACCATGCTCAATAATGAATAAGATCCAATGCACAGCCCTAGCACCTCGAGCCGTCACGGCATTGCACCGAGTTGGGTGTGCACACAACCCTTATTCATTCAGGGTCAGCCCTTGCACTCCGCTGGGATTGCCCATTGCACGCGGAAGGGTGACCCATGTCAGCAGCTTGACCTTTGCCAACTTTCTCTACAAACTGCTGCCAATGACGGGTAAGATGGCTAGGATGTCTCCACCTAAGACAGGAGGCCATTGGTATCTGACAATGATCTCCCTAGACGGGTAAAGAGTATCCCAAGCCACAACCTAAGACAGGCTCTTTTTGTAAAGAAGAAAGGGGGAGATGTTGATTGCCACACGCGGTGATGTTGATTGCCACACACGGTGGCCTAAAGATGGCGCCTGGCGGAAATAAACACGTCAGCAGGAGTAGCTCCTGTCACGTACATTGGAGAGTATTGCGCAGGCGCTTGCACATGCGCTGAGGGCTGACGCGTGAACAGCGGCGTGATCAGCGCGTGCACAGGCCTCTTGCCCTATCCAAACTGCAGGATTGGCGCGTGGTCTAGAGGCTCACCAATAAGCCGCCACTTGGGCGGAGCCATCCCCGATAAGAGCGAGAGCACGAGCTGGGTCGGGGCCTTCCTCTTCATCATCTTGGTGTGCACAATAAAGACTACCGCGGAAGACTTCACTCGCGTCTGCCTCTTATTGCGGGTCGATAGGAGCGTGGGCGTGACACCCTACAACAGTTTTCATACCAACTCCAGGGGTGTTGGATGATCCTCAGAAAACACAGAGGGTCTCTTAGGTAATTCTTGGTGAAGTTGGTGTGAGGCATCCAGCATTTGGCCCACAAGTATTAGGGAAGCCAATTCAGAGACAGGAGATGACTGGGCCAGCCATCCAGCTGGTGAGCTGCGGGGACAGGAAGCAGGTCACCACCAGGTGTTCCACCTCTGTTCTATTCCTGGTACACCCCTTCCAGCCTCCACTTCCCCTCTGTAGAGCTAAACCAACACTATCATATTGTGCTAAACCAAAAAGAATCACTTCTTTAAACTTGAAAAACTTTGGCTGCTTCATACAGTTCCACACACCACAGGTGGCTGTCAGGATTAAGATCAATGAAAGTCTAGTTGAAGGTTGTCAAGCATTTCTGCTAACTGGACTAGGCCCAGCTTGCGTATAGTATTTAAATCCCTACTCCACCACTTCCTTGCCATGTGTACTTGGCCAAGTTACCTGACTTCCTGTACCTCAATTTCTTCATCTAAGTGGTGGGGGTATCTTCCATTCTGGAAGGTAAAGACTCTGGGTGAATTCACTTGCTATCAAGTTTGGACCCGAGACTGTGTGCAACTTTTATGAGCCCCACTTAGTGTAAACAGCATGGGAATTTTTGCTTTTTTTTTTTTTTAAAGATGTATTCGTTTTTATTTGAATGGTAGGTTTTACAGTGACAGAAGGTGAGACAGAGAGAGGTCTTCTACCTGCTAGTTACTGATGCCCCAACGGCTGGAGCTGAGCTGATCCAGAGCTGGGAACCAGGAGCTTCTTTCCGGTCTCCCACATGAGTGCAGGGGCCCAAGCACTTAACCTGTCCTCTGCTGCTTTCCCAGGGAGCTGAATCAGAAGCGCAGCAGCTGGGACTGGAACTGGCACCCATATGGGATGTCAACCCCACAGGTAGAGAATCAGCCTAAGCCACCAGTCATATCAAGACTTCCCTAGAATGGGAGGGGGGGTCACTTAACATTACCTGGGAGGGATGAGACCACCCCTCTGTGGCAGAATACAGTCCCCAAAGCACTGAACTACCTGTATCTTGCATAGGGTCTTTTCATAAGCGCAGCCGTTCAGTTCTGGTAGGTTTCCCAGGTGCTGTATTCTAAATTTACGCTCTGGGAGGAGGGGCCAAGGCATTGGCAGTCTCCCATAATCTTTCAAGAATCTGAATAGGAACTTAGTAATCACACTCTTTTATCTTGCTAAAATGTGTCTCCTGTGAATGGGGCTTCAGACCCGCCTCCCGGCTAAGGGCCTGGCAAAACTGAAGAAGACGGCCCAGGTACTTGGCTACCTGCCACCACGTGGTAGGCTTCTGACTCCGGAGTTTTGGCCATTTGGGGAATGAAAAGCACACGCAGGATCTCTCAATTTCGCGGGAGAAAAAAAACCCCTAAACCCACTATCGGACACACCTGGGCTATACCTGAGAGGTTATTGAGAATGAAATCACTTAATCCGGCATGTAAAAACGCTTGACAAAGAAAAGCTTCGCATAGCTGCAGGTTTTTAAAAATAATTATGCAAAGGGCCTCGCCCTCAGCGTTCCGCAAGTGTTTACAAAGTGCTAACCGCCGTTTCCCCCGCCCCGTCCCTAGGCGACCGCCCCTCGAACGCTAGGGCTTTCCGCCAGGACCCCTTCCGGGCCGAGTGCGGGTGCCCCGCAGGGCGCGCAGGCCACCGTGCCCACGCGGGCAGCGCCCCGGTGCCCGCCCGCTTCCGTTCCGGAGAGGGAGGGCTTTCCGGGGCCCAGAGCCCGGCCGGCGCGAGCGCCTCGGGGCCGCCGCGGGGGCCGAGCAGGCAGCGCGAGGGAAGCTGCGGGCTCCGCGGGCCGCCGGACGCAGCTGTGCGCGCCCCGGGGCGGGGCCTGGCGCGCCGGCCGCCCGCGCGCGCCGAGCCGCCTGCTGATTGGGCCCCGGAGCCCGGGGCTTCCGGCGGCGCGCGCCTCCCCCCAGGTTTCCCGCCAGCAGGAGCCGCGCGCTGGACGCGGTGCTCGCAGGCAGGCTCTCCCTCCGAGCGGACGGTTGGGCCTCGCCGAGCGCCGCTATGTCGCGGCAGAGCACCCTGTTCAGCTTCTTCCCCAAGTCTCCGGGGCTGAGCAAGCCCCCGGCCAGGGCCTCACGCGAAGGCGGCGATGCCCGGCCAGGCGCGGGGGCCTCCGCTTCTCCCGGCGGCGACGCGGCCTCGAGCGAGGCTGGAGGGCCCGGGCGCAGGCCCGCGGCGGACTCTGCCGCGCCACCGAGGACGAGAAGCTTCAACGGAGGACTCCGGAGGGCGGCTGCGGCGCCCGCGGCTGCGCCTGTCAGGTAGCAGCTGGGGTCAGGCCCGGGGCTGGGAGGAAGCGGGAGTTGAGAGAGAGCTTTTGTATTTCTCTGGTGGCGGAGGCTGTAGAGGAGAGCGGGCTGTGCAGGGGGAGAGCTCGGGCTCTCGGGGCCGCGTCGCGTTGTGGCGCCGTGGGGGCTGAGGAGACGCGTCCCGCCAGGTGCGGGGCCGGGCGGGGGAAGGGCAGGTGCGCGCCGCGGGGTGCTGGGGGTCCCCGGGGGCCACTTCCTGTCCCGAGCGTGGCTGCCCACCTGGGCCGCCGCAGTTTCCCCGCGGACTGGTGCGGGTTCGGCGGGGGTCCCTGGGCTGGGGGAGGGAAACGTTCGAGAAGCCATGGAGAGGGGGTGGGGATGGGGGTGTGTCGCGGGGCCGATGGGGCGGGGCGGGGTGTAGGCTTTGTTGTTGTGCGTCCGGGGAGGAGCGGAAAGTTCTGGGGGTCCGCTTGAGTTGGCCCGAGTGTGCGCCGCCCCAGTCTGAAACTAGAATCCTGGCTTTAGTGCGCGCGTGTCGCTGGGGGTGGGATGGGGGGGACGTTGGTGGCGGGGTCGTGTCACTGCCGTGAGTGAGTCCGCGGGCAAGGAGGGCACCATAGTTGGTTGTTTCCCCGGGCGCTGAGAGAAACTCCTACAAGGTCCTGAAGCGGCCGGTGTGGACGTGACGCCGGGACGCCTGGGACGCCTGGGGCGCAGGGCTCCTCTCGGTTCTGGGCACTTTGGACGCTCTTTGGGAGCTTGGCTGGTCTTTGGGCAGCGGCGACATTTTGAAAAATTCATTTTCACGGCATTCATCGGCTAGTTTGAGACACAAAGTGTTAATGGTGGACGGTTGAATGGTTGAGGTGAAAATGCATTCGAGATCAGAGAGCTAGGTTAGTGGTTTTGAGTAATCGATTTTGTGTGTATGGAGTGTAAGGTGTCCCGCGGGAATTCTCAGATAATTTTTTTTTTTTAAGAAGTGTGAGACTAGTAACAGGGTGGCTGTCATTTAAGAGAATCTTATAGTTGTGATTTAGTAGAACTCGTTTATGGGCAACAGCCAGTTTCGCAGTAACACCCTGGGGTAATGCCAAACGCAGGCTGTGTTAATGAATGGATTTTCCTTGCACTCAAAGTAGATGGTGCATTTGTGGTAAGGTTACACTTCACATGCATACTGAATAGCATTGTTTTTTGAAGTCTGAGTCTATGAGAGTTGGAAACAAAAGAAAACAAAACAAAACATGATCTCCAGTGAGAAGCTGGATACTAGGTTTTTAAAGGTAGGTCATTGAACTGATGTTCATGGTCCCTGCTCTGCTGGACACAGTCCGGGTCACTGTGGGTGCAGCAGTGACAAGAGGCAGTGCTGCAGCTAAGGTGAGCAGGCGCCGGGCTTTGTGCCGTACAAGATGCCAGTCTGCTGAGCTCTCAGTTCTTGTATCCCACTGAGAACAAAAGTCTGCACCCAGGGAGCCAAATCCTGCTGTGGGAATGAGGAAAGCCAGGGGCTTCTCACTCCCCCCCCCCGCTGCTGCAATACTCAGACAGTTGAACTTGCTTGGAAGTCTTTAAAAGGCTTTTAAAAGGCTGGGCCAGGCACGGCAGCTTAGCAGCTAAAGCCCTCCCTTTGCATGTGCTGCGATCCCATACGGGTTCCTGGCAGCTCCACTTCCATCCGGCTCTCTGCTTGTGGCCCGGAAAAGCAGTTGAAGACGGCACAAAGCCTTGGGACTCTGCACCCGTGTGGGGGACCTGGAGGGATTCCTGGCTCAGCTCAGCTTTGCCCTTTGCAGGCACTTGGGGAGTGAATCATCAGACAGAAGATCTTCCTCTCTGTTTCTCCTCCTCTCTGTGTATCTGACTTTCTAATAAAAGTAAATTAAAAAAAAGTGTTCAGCGTTTGATGAACAGTCATCTTCTGGTGAACAGGAGTTACTGGTTGGAGTCTAGTCTGTCCATCTTTTTATTTATGTTTCTTGGACAGACTTACAGAGGGAAGGAGTGACAAAGATCTCTGCTGATTCACTCCCCAGCTGGCTGTAATGGCCAGAGTGGAGCAGTTCCGAAGCCAGGAAACAGCTGCTGCTTCTGGGTCTCCCACGCAGGTATAGGGTCCTAGGACTTAGGCAGTTGGGACCTGGAGCAGCCAGGACATGAACCGGTGTCGGGATGATATGCTGGTGTTTGGAGGTGGAAGATTAGCCAGTTGAACAGCTGTGCTGGCCCCTAGCCTTTCCATTCTTATAATGTGTTTACAAATGTTTGTTTATACTTACTTGAAAGGCAAAATGACAGAGAAGTCCTCTATCTGCTGGTTCACTCCTCAGCGCTTCCCGGGAGCCTGGGTCTCTGCATGGCTGGTGGCGGCCCACAGGTACCCCCTGTACCACAGCGCCCTCTTTAGTTTGGCCATCTTTATGGTTAATGGTTTTGTAGGTTTCATCAGGAAGTCCACTGTGGAATTTCTGTTTTGGAAACATCTCTGGCTGAAGTGCTTGTGGAGGAGACTGCTTGGGGCGATTTGGTAATGGCAGGAAAGCTTGGGAAGGTGTTGCAGTAATGAGGAGGCTCCAGAGGCATTTGAGGGGGGGCACACAGTAAGCCGATTTGGTGGTGTGTAGAATGGTCAGGTGAGGGCAGGGAAAGGAGCCAGAATGATATGAGCTTCAAGTCAATGGCTCAGAAAAGTAGAGGCCATCCAGAGAGGGTACTTCAGAAGGCAGTGGGACATGTGTACTCTGTAGAAAGAGACTTGGGTGGGGATTGCAGACCTGGTTTTCGCCTAAATAGAGTGACAGTAGCTCCGTGTTTTCGTAAACACTTGATTTATTGGAATGGCAGAGAGCTCCCCGCTGCTGGTGCCTGCAGTGGATTTGAGGAGGGGTGAAAGTGGACGCTTGGAGGCAGGTTCCCCTCGGGGTGGGCATCTAGGGGGAGCTGAGGGTGGGGCTTGGGTGCTCTGATGGAGCTGCCACACAGGCTCCCCGTGGTTAAATGCACCCTGTGTGGTAGCCCGGGTCAGCTGCTCGGCTGTTAGCAGGCCTGCGAGCTGTGGGCGAGACTTCTGATCATCTCACTGTGACTGTGCACAAACCTTGGCTGCTGTCCCATATCTGTCCCATGTCAGTGAGGTCACTCTTACCTCTGTTGATGACAGGTGCTAGAGAAGTCTCTTGTGACAAATGTCTTAGACTCTCAATAAAAGATTTATTTACTTATTTGAAACTCAACTTTAGAGACACAGGGAGAGACAGAGAACCTCTATCCGCTTTTTCACTTTCCAAAATGGCCCCAGCAGCCAGATCTGGGCCCATCCGAAACCAGGAGGTCTGATCCTCTTATGTGTCTCCCTTATGGGCGCAGGGGCCCAAGCACTCAGACCGTGCTTGACTGCTTTCCCAGCACAGGAAGGAACTGGATCAGAAGTGGAGCAGCCAGGGCTCTGAGCAGCAGCCATATGGGTTGTTAGTGCTTCTGCCTGCCACATCACCAGCCCTTACTGGTATACTTAAATTGTGTATACACATGCACATACACTCATATATATATTTTTTTAAGGCAGTTATGGAGAAGAGGGAGAGTGAAATCTTCTGGTTTACTCCCCGGTGGCCAGGGCTGGAGCCACGAGTCTGGTGCTCCTCCTGTGACTGGCAGGAACCCAAGGTCTTGGGCTGATCTGCTGCCTTCCCAGGAGCATTAGCAGGGCACTGGATTTGAAAGCTAAGGCCGACCTGGTCCCAGGCTTACTACACACCAAACTATAGTATCGCCCCTGGGATATTCTTTTTTTTTTTAAAGATTTTATTTTTATTATTTTTTTATTGGAAAGGTGGATATATAGAGAGGAGAGACAGAGAGGAAGATCTTCCGTCCGATGATTCACTCCCCAAGTGAGCCGCAACGGGCCGATACTATGCCGATCCGAAGCCAGGAGCCTCTTCCGGGCCTCCCACGCGGGTGCAGGGTCCCAAAGCTTTGGGCCGTCCTCGACTGCTTTCCCAGGCCACAGGCAGGGAGCTGGAAGGGAAGCGGGGCTGCCGGGATTAGAACCAGTGCCCATATGGGATCCCGGGCGTGCAAGGCGAGGACTTAACCACTTGCGCCACCGCGCCGGGCCCGGGATATTCTTTTTTATTCACCATTTTTTTAAAGCTTTACTTCTTCCACGTGTATTGGATGACACAGAGATATCTTCCATCGCTGCTGATAATGCTTCCCAAATAGATGGCTTCAGTGCTCAGGGCTGGGCCTGGCCAAACAGGAACCTGGCACTCCATCCAGTTCTCTGACATGGGTGTGTCAGGGACCATCTTCCACTGCTATCCCAGGCATCTTAACTCTAGCAGGGAACTGGATGGCTTCACAAGCCACAGCTTAACTCACTGTGCCACAGTGCTGGCACACAGATTTTTGTGGAGCAAATCTAAATCTCTTCACATCTGTGACTGTTAAGCCTTATTTGAGAAAGCAAACATGATGTAATTTAAAACAACAATTAAAAGAAAGAAGGGAGATAGCCCTATCTTCCATCCAGTGATTGGCTCCCCAAGTGGCTGCAACAGCCCTGCTGGGGGTCGGTCTGGAGCTTCATCTGTGTCTCCCGTGTGGGTTCAGGAGCCTAAGCACTTGATTGGTGTCTTATGCTTTCCCAGGTGATCAGCAGGGAACTGGTTCCACAGTGGGGTAGCTGGGACTCAAACCAGTGCTGATGGCTTAACACAGTACACCATTATGCCAGCCCCTGACTTACTCTAGTTAAATGGAAGCTTTTACGTCGTTTTGACTGTCAGCTTTTCCTCTTACCCTTTTTCCCACTGGTTTTAAAAATCCCAAGAATACCATATATTTGAGATGGATTGTTTAGAACTTTGTAATTACTTGCAAAGCATGATTAAATTTCATTTCTTTCTATAAAAAAATTCCAATATTTTGGTATTCCAGCTTGGTTTATTTGCTAGATGGAGCAACGAGGAGCTGGGGAGAGTTCTTCCATCTGCTGGTTGACTCCCTAGTTGGCCACAACAGTCAGCTCTGGTCCAGGCCAATGCTGGGTGCCGTGAATGCCATTCTGTCCCACAGCAGGGCGGCAGGGGTGGGAGGCAAGCTCCTTCTACCTTTGCAGGTGTGTGGGTAGGAAGCTTGATGGGAAGTGCAGTAGCTGCATTTCCAAGAGCATCCGTGTTGTAGGAAAATGCAAATATTTGCATAGGTTAAAATGTTACTTTTATTAACATTTTTGAAAATGTCACAAGTGTTGGATGCATTTTTTCTAAAAAACCCTTAAAAATGAAAGTTGACACTTTAAAAATATTAGATGTGAAAATTTTCCTTAAATGGAGTTAAGAAAAACTTTATTGAGGAATATGAAAAATATCTAGCTTTATTACATACTACAGTTGATAACCTGCTGAAATCTCTTTCTGGCTCAGAAGCCACTATTTCTTGGGCTAGGATTTTTAAAGAGCGCGTTTTTTTTCTGTTCTTTTTATTTTTGAAATTTATCATACAGTTTGTATAGTCTGGGAATCCCTTAAAGAGCACATTTTATCTTCAAGCTCTTTACCGTTGAGGGAGCTGTGTGTTACTAATCCTTCCAGTTGGCATTTAGAGCCTGCTTGCCCTTTCTCCTCTCCTGTTCCCCACTCAATTCTCCTGCCAGTGTTGGGCCACTCCTAGAATGGCCACAGCTGCCAGGCCTGGCCCAGTCCTGAACTCCAGCCAGCTCTCACATGTGGGTGGCAGGATCAGAAACCAGAATAACCAGGACCTAAACTGACATGTTGACATGGGATGTGGACATTCTGAGCAGCAGCTTAACCTCCTGGACCACAAAGGCTGCCCCAACCAGCTATTTTTTAGTGGCATTTTATTTTATTTTTTAAAGATTTATTTTTATTGCAAAATCAGATATATAGAAAGGAAGAGAGATAGAAATATCTTCCATCCGATGATTCACTCCCCAAGTGAGCGCAACGGCTGGTGCTGTGCCGGTTGGAAGACAGGAGCCCAGATCCTCCTCCAGGTCTCCCACGCGGGTGCAAGATCCCAAGGCTTTGGGCCTTCCTCGACTGTTTTCCTAAGCCACAGGCAGGGAGCTAGATGGGAGTGGAGCTGCCAGGATTGGAACTGGCACCCATATGGGATCCTGGCGTGTTCAAGGCGAGGACTTTAGCTGCTAGGCCACTCCGCTGGCCCTCCCTCCCCCTTTTTTTAATATTTGAATGGCAATCTAATGGATTCCCCATGTTCCCACAACCACCAGGCCTGGTCCAGGATGAAGCCAGCACCAGCCTAGAGCTTGTTGGCAGGGACTCAGGTACCTGAGCTACCGCCTGCATCTTCCTAAGATGGACATTGGCAGGAAGTTGGGTTCTAAAGCTGAGCCCAGGTCCGCTGACTGGAGTTTTGTGTGTCCTAAGCCACATCTTAACCACTGCACAAAATGGCCACCCCCATTTTTGAGGTCCTGAGACTCTGAATACTATGTAAAGCCTTTTCTACTATATTGGTATGAGTTTTGAGATAACCTTGGAAGTCTCAAAGTTTTTCCTCTGGGATAAAACTGGGATAACATATATGCCAAAATCAGTGGGAGGAGGGAAAGTCCTAGAGCCTTTGAACTGTACCATAAATAAAGAAACAAAACTACTCTCAAAGATTAAAAATGTTTTATACCAAAAATATATACCAGAGTATTGCTGTCATACTAAGATTATAAGCTGAAATTAAAAATGTTTTCCCTTACCTGTTTTTTTTTTTTTTTTAAGATTTATTTACTTTTGGGCCCAACTCAGTGGCCTAGCTGTTAAAAGTCCTTGCCTTGAATGCGCCAGGATTCCATATGGGTGCCAGTTCTAATCCCAGCAGCCCCACTTCCCATCCAACTCCCTGCTTGTGGCCTGGGAAAGCAGTCAAGGACAGTCCAGTGCTTTGAGATCCTGCATCAGTGTGGGAGATTTGGAGGAGGTTCCTGGCTCCTGGCTCTGGCTTGGCACAGCACTGGCCGTTGTGCTCACTTGGAGTGTAAGTCATCAGACGGAAGATCTTTATATCTCTCTTCCTCTTTATATATCTGACTTTTCGATCAAAATAAATAAATCTTTAAAGCATTTTTATTTACTTTTATTGGTTCACTCCCCAAGTGATTGCAACGGCTGGAGCTGAGCCAATCCAAAGCAGGAGAGAGAAGTTTTTTTGAGTAGCTGAGGGCTCTAGTGAAGGGGCAAGCCTGCAGATGCTTTGTGGAGATGTTTGAGGTTTGACTCTTGGTTGATTTAGCATGAACCTGAGGCAGTGTTTGTCACCTGTGTAGGTCATCATCAACTTCTGTTGAGAGAATGTAGGGAGCTGTGAAGGCCCTTAAAACAGCACAGTCAGAAATCATGATGCTGCTTGCGTTTCCCTATCTTAAGATTTCTATAATCAATGTTTTAAGTTTTTATTTATTTTTTTAAAGATTTGTTTATTTTTATTGTAAAGGTAGAGAGAGGAGAGACAGAGAAGATAATCTTCCACCTAATGATTTACTCCCCAAGTGGCTGCAATGGCCGGTGCTACGCCAATCCGAAGCCAGGATCCAGGAACTCTTCCATATCTCCCACACGGGTGCAAGGTCCCAAGGCATTGGGCCGTCCCGGGCTGCCTTCCTAGGCCACAAGCAGGGAGCTGGATGGGAAGTAGAGCTGCCGGGATTAGAACAGGCACCCATATGGAATCCCGGGCGCATTCAAGGCAAGGATTATAGCCACTAGGCCACCGCACTGGATCCTTAAGTTTTATTTTTCCTTTGAAAAATGAAATTCATTTGAGAGCAGAGTGAGCAAGCTCCTACATAATGGTTAACTCCCCTAAAGCGTACAGTGACACGAGGCCTGAGCCTGGGTGGAAGCTGAGGCACGGGAGATCTCAGATGGTGTTAAACATAATTTGTAGTAACCAGTCTCTTTGGAGCTTGAGCCAGGAGCCCAAGGCACTATGGAATGTGGTTAAGTGAGTTTTAATTCCTAAGCCAAACACCCTGCTAAGCGCTCCTGTCTTATGGTTTGTGATTCAGGCTAAATCAGGTGACTTTCATTAACTAAATGCTGTTCAAAAATATAACCAAAAAGATTTTGTGATGTGCTGAATTTTGTAGTGGTTCCACAGAAACATAAAGGAGGGCCCAGTGTGGTAGCTAGTGTCTAAATCTTCACCTTGCATGTGCCAGGATCCCGTATGGGTGCTGGTTGTATCCTAGCTACTCCTCCTCCCATCTAGCTCCCTGACTTAGGTGGTGGATCTGGAAGAGGTTCCTGGCTTTGGATCGGCTCAGCTCCAGCCGTTGCAATCCTTTGGGGAGTGAACCAACAAGTGAGAGATCTTTGTCTCTCTTCTCTGTAAAATTGTTTTTCCAATAAAAAATTTTTTAAGGACAAGAAAATCTTGGTTTTTATTTTTAAAACCAAGGATCTGGGCACATACAAAGCGAGGACCTCAGCCACAAGATACTGGCTCCAGGACTGAAATCTTGGTACTTAATACTTGGCCAGGATTATCAGCTCTCTGGCTTTTCCATCCCGAGGGGTGTGCTGTTAGCTAGCTTCTCCCCCGTGGGGCTGAGTGAGTGAAGACAGAATTGTTGTTTTGATTTTGGTCATGCATATACTGCCCATGCACTCATTTGTGCCTTGAGCTTTCTCGTAAAACTCGCTTGGGAGCAAAGAGGATAGCAGGGTTCTATGTAGTTTTGTAGTGCTTGCCACACATCATGGTTTAACAGGAAGCAAGTTCCAGGCACAGGCTAATGGGTTAGCTAATTAGTGTAATTATGTAATCAGGATATTTTAATGCCACAGGTTAGCCTGCTTCAGAAAATCTAGAAAATTCAGAAAAGTTGAAATCATGAAAAAGCCATGATTTCAGCTTTTCACACTAAAAAAACCAAACTTTTTAGTGTACTACCATCTGTAGTTACAGGCACAGCTCCCTGTGATTCGGAGAGTACGTACTACTAGCGTGTGCCTTTCTCCTGGCACCAGAGGCCTACTGCAGTGCCAAGTCTTGGAGATTCAGAGACATGGTTTTTCACTTTACTTCCATCTGTGTCTTGCGAGTTAAGTATTGTATTAGCTGGCTTAATTTTAGAATTTGTGTTTGAATAGTTGCTCTAGATTTTGCAGGTAAGTGGTACCTTCCTTGGAATTGGATTTGCAGGTAATGGCCTTTAAAATAACCTTATACCAAATATTAACCAAATTATGTATTTCTTTTTGACAATAGTTGTGACTTTTCACCTGGTGACTTGGTTTGGGCCAAGATGGAGGGCTACCCCTGGTGGCCTTGTCTGGTGTACAACCACCCCTTTGATGGAACATTCATCCGCCAGAAGGGGAAATCGGTTCGTATCCATGTACAGTTTTTTGATGACACCCCAACAAGAGGCTGGGTTACCAAGAGGCTATTAAAGCCGTACACAGGTAAGAGGGTTATGGGTGGCATGATTGCAGTGGACGGGGTGATGGGTGATAGATCCCAAACAGTGAGTTGGAATGTATTTTGCCACAATAAATGACAAGAGTGGAAAGTGTGAAAGATTTTTGGGCATGGGAATAAAGCATAGCTTAGGAGAAGCGTGTAGCTGGTCTTCAATTTATTTTGTGGGATGGAGTTTTTCTGTTTGATTTCTTTTGAGTGGCTTAGAGTGAAATTATGTCTTTATGGGGAGAAAAGTCATCTCATGACTGGCATTAATTACCAGAGTACGAAGTTCAGGATTAGAAGGCTGGAGTTTTAAACTGTCTCCATGTTGAAGGAACCAAATGATAGTGTAAACAATAGTGTTCAGGATACTCAGCGTGCAGATGAGCGACAGTGTCTGGGAGTTGGAGACCGCATTGCCTGGCCTCCAAACTCCTCCATCACAGCCCTCAGCAGTTCCTTAGAATAGTCTCTTCAGTGACCTGAGACAGTAGCGCTAACAGGGGCAACATCTCTTCAATGAGGCAGGAGCTGTAAAAAAGGGTTTGTGTTGAGACCCTTTCTTAACATTATGCTTCCAAGAAAAACTGACTACACCTTTACATGAAACTAGTTTCCTCCTAAAGATAAGTGCAAGTGAAGTGAGAAACAGAGCGCAATAATCAGGTTCAGACTTTGTGTTCAAAATATTTCTTTCAGAATCCAGTTTTAAGGGGCTCATGCTGTAGTGTAATAGGCTAAGCCTCTGCCGGCAGTACCAGCATCCCATATAGGTGTGTGTCAGTTTGCTGGGGCTGCTCCATTTCCAGTCCAGCTCCCGGCCTGGGACAGTAGCAGGTGGCAGCCCAAGTCCTTGATCCCTGCACCAAGTGGAAGACCCTGGAAAAGCTCCTGACTTCAGGTTGGCTCAGCTCTGACCACTGCAAACACTGGGGAGTGAATCAGTGGAATAAAAATGTGTCTTGGTGATTAGCCTTTAATAAAAACAGTAAAATACAGTTTTAAAGTGTCTCTGTGTTCAAGTTAGAGCTCAAATTTCATTAAAATAAGCGACAGTTCAACACACTAAGCAAGAAGATAAGGAACAGAGCTCTCCCAGTCTAATGGGGTATGACTGAACTCTTTGCCATGTGCGTAATTGGCCTATTTCTCCCCAGACACAAATATGGAAACCATATTTGGAAAAGAACTTGAATTGGTCGAAAAGCAAAAGATTAAAAACATTGCCGTGTTTATATTCCAAAAAAATGGAATGGCCTACATATCTATGCTGTAATCACAGCTTAATGTGTCTTACAGCTGCATCCCCTGCACCAGCTAGCCAGTGGTAAAATTGTTCTGGATATATTTGATCCAATCTCTGCTTTACAAGTAAATCTAAAACAAGAATGCAACAAAAAGGCCTTCTTTTTTCACCCATGCCTCTCTGCTTATTTGTTGCAAGATTTATTTGGAAGGCAGAATTAAGGGAAGTGGCGGGGTGGGTGGGGATGGGAGGAAGAATCTCCTAGCTCGCTCCCAGTTACTTGCACTGGGCCAGGCAGGAACCAGGAAACTCCCATCTTGGTGTCCCACATGGATGGCAGGGCCCAAAGATGGGCCATTATTTGTTGCTTTCCTATGTGCTTTAGCAGAGAGCTGGATCAGAAGTGGAGTAACTGGAACTAATTGGGATGCTGGCATCAGCAAATAGTGGTTCTGTGCACTTAGCCACAACTCTGGTCTGTGTGTACTGGTTTGGGTAACCCAACAGGTAACCATGGGAGTTAAACTTGGTAATTTCAGGTTCATTGGTAGCCTCTCCTTGATTGTTGTCATTCTTTTGGGCAAGTGCTACAGGTTGAGCCAAAGATCCAACAAGATCTTGTTTATGAATCTATTTCTAGGTTCAAAATCAAAGGACGCCCAGAAGGGAGGTCATTTTTATAGTTCAAAGCCTGAAATATTAAGAGCAATGCAACACGCAGATGAAGCCCTGAATAAAGACAAAAATAAGAGGCTTGAGTTGGCTGTGTGTGATGAGCCCTCAGAGCCGGAAGAGGAAGAAGAGATGGAGGTGGGACACTGCTGTTTTTGCCATTAGGACTGGGGGAAGGGAAGGGAGAGACTGGTATTTTCTTGTTACATATCTGTTAGGTGTAAGACGCACACATGTACGCACCTGCATTCCAGGGATTGTCGTTTATTTAAAAGATACACAGCTAGCACCTCCCCACTTGTTCACAAGCCTGCTTGGAGGACGAGGCTCTGCAGGTAGCAGTGCCATTTTGGAAAGCAGCAGTCAGCCAGGAACAGTCTGGTTGTGGTCATGGAATCAGGTAGTAGTCCTTCATAGAAGGGTGGACCCAGGTCCTGGGTGGCAAGTATCTAGGTTGATGCTTTTCATTTTAATAATTTTTGTTGCATCCTGCATTAATAAAAAGTAAATAACTACAAAATACAACTTGGACTTCAGATGGCAACCATCGTTGATAATTAGTTCACTTAAAGTAGATAAGAGGTTAAGAGGTATGGTCTCTAGTTCAGGAAATTAAAGTACCCTATCCCACAAGAGATTGTTTAGCTAAAGCTTGATGTTTTATTCCTTATACATGAAATAAGGAATAAGATAAGTTAAATATGATGGGTGTTTTCATCTTAATATTTAGGGTTGTGGTTAGGGGCTGTGGCATTAATTGGAGGTTGAAAACTTGCTGTTAACTATGAACAACATTTAGCTTGCTACTTAAACACTTCAGCTATAGCTGGTCTTTAGAGAAGCGAGCACTAGCACCATTATAGATGGCTTATTTTTTTTTACCCTAAGTGTATAAAATGGTAAATCTCAAAGTATGTCCACTCTTGTACTTGTGACCTGGTGACAGTACTGAACTCACTTGAACAGCAATCTCTGAACCTGTGTGACACTTCTTGATTGTTAGGCAAATCTGAAATTGGTTTCTTGTGGAAGCTTATGAAGTTGGAGGTGGAGAGTCCCAGCACAATTTTCCAAAATGTGCCAGCCATTTTCCAAATATATTTTCCTTGCCTGGCAGGTAGCTGCAGCTAACACATCAGAGAAGAGTGAAGAAGATAATGTAATTGAGAGTGAAGAGGAAATGCAGCCTAAGGTGCAAGGATCTAGGCGAAGCAGCCGCCAAATAAAGAAACGAAGGGTCATTTCAGACTCTGAGAGTGATGCTGGTGGCTCTGATGTGGAATTCAAGCCAGACGCTAAGGAGGAAGGGAGCAGTGATGAAATCAGCAGCGGGGGGTGTGACAGTGAAAGTGAAGGCCTGGACGGTCCCATCAAAGCTGCACCCAAGCGAAAGAGAATGGCGACGGGCAATGGGTCTCTTAAAAGGAAAAGTTCAAAGAAAGAAGTATTGTCAACCACCAAGCGAGCATCTGGCATTGCAGCAGAAACCAAGAGCACTCTTAGTGCTTTTTCTGCTCAGAATTGCGAATCCCAGTCCCAGGCTAGCGGAGCAGCTGATGACAGTGGTCGGCCTGCTACCTGGTACCATGAAACTTTAGAATGGCTTAAAAAGGAGAAGAGACGAGACGCGTACAGGAGACGGCCTGACCACCCTGACTTTGATGCATCCACACTTCATGTGCCTGAAGATTTCCTTAATTCCTGTACTCCTGGCATGAGGAAGTGGTGGCAGATTAAGGCTCAGAACTTTGATCTTGTCATCTTTTATAAGGTGGGGAAGTTTTATGAACTGTATCATATGGATGCTCTTATTGGTGTGAATGAACTTGGGCTGGTATTCATGAAAGGCAACTGGGCCCATTCTGGCTTTCCCGAAATTGCATTTGGCCGTTATTCAGATTCCCTGGTGCAGAAGGGATATAAAGTAGCACGAGTTGAACAGACTGAAACCCCAGAAATGATGGAAGCAAGATGCCGAAAGATGGCACACATATCTAAGCATGATAAAGTGGTCAGGAGGGAGATCTGTAGAATCATCACCAAGGGTACACAGACGTACAGTGTGCTGGAAGGTGATCCTTCTGAAAACTACAGTAAGTATCTTCTTAGTCTGAAGGAAAAAGAAGCAGATTCTTCTGGCCACACTCGTGTGTTCGGTGTGTGCTTCGTTGATGCTTCATTGGGAAAGTTTTTCCTAGGTCAGTTTTCAGATGATCGCCATTGTTCCAGACTGAGGACTCTAGTGGCACACTATCCTCCAGTACAGGTCTTGTTTGAGAAAGGAAATCTCTCCATGGAAACTAAGTCAGTCCTGAAGGGTTCATTATCCTCTTCTCTTCAGGAAGCTCTCATCCCAGGCTCCCAATTTTGGGATGCAGGCAAAACCCTGAGGACTCTCCTTGAAGAAGGGTATTTTACAGAAAAGGTAAACGCGGACAGCGGGGTGATGCTACCCCAGGTGCTTAAGGGCATGACCTCAGAGTCTGATTCCATTGGGCTCACACCAGGAGAGAACAGTGAGTTGGCCCTCTCCGCTCTTGGTGGTTGTGTCTTTTACCTCAAAAAATGCCTTATTGATCAGGAGCTCTTATCAATGTGTAATTTTGAAGAATATATTCCTTTAGACTCTAATGTGGTCAGTACTGCCAGACCTGGTGCTATCTTTCAGCCCAGTCAGCGGATGGTGCTAGACGCAGTGACCTTAAACAACTTGGAGATTTTTCTGAACGGGACAAATGGCTCTACTGAAGGGACCCTGTTAGAGAGGATCGATTCTTGCTGTACTCCCTTTGGTAAGCGGCTCCTCAAGCACTGGCTTTGTGCCCCACTCTGTAACCCTAACGCTATCAGTGATCGTCTAGATGCCATAGAAGACCTCATGGCTGTGCCTGAGAAAGTCTCCGAAGTTGTAGACCTTTTGAAAAAGCTCCCAGATCTTGAAAGGCTGCTGAGTAAAATCCATAATGTCGGCTCTCCTCTGAAGAGCCAGAACCACCCAGACAGCAGGGCCATAATGTATGAAGAAACGACTTACAGCAAAAAGAAGATCATTGATTTCCTTTCTGCTCTGGAAGGATTTAAAGTCATGTGTAAAATCATAGAGATTATGGAAGATGCTGTCAGTGACTTTAAGTCTAACCTCCTGAAGCAGGTCATTACTCTGCAGACCAAAAATCCTGCAGCCCGCTTTCCTGATTTGACTGCAGAGCTGCACCGATGGGACACAGCTTTTGACCACGACAAAGCACGCAAGACTGGGCTGATTACTCCTAAAGCAGGCTTTGACAGTGACTATGACCAAGCTCTTGCGGACATAAAAGAAAATGAACAGAGCCTCCTGGAATACTTGGAGAAGCAGCGCAGTCGAATTGGTTGTAGGACTATAGTGTACTGGGGGATCGGCAGGAATCGTTATCAGCTGGAAATCCCAGAGAACTTCACTACACGTAACCTGCCAGAAGAATATGAATTGAAATCTACCAAGAAGGGCTGTAAACGATACTGGACCAAAACTATTGAGAAGAAGTTGGCCAGTCTGATCAATGCTGAAGAACGGAGAGATGTATCCTTAAAGGACTGCATGCGGCGACTCTTCCATAACTTTGATAAAAACTACAAGGACTGGCATTCTGCCGTAGAGTGCATCGCAGTGTTGGGTAAGACTTTGTTGATTCCTAAGTGACAAGTTGCACTAAGGGGGCTTTCAAAATAGTCCATGGATTAATGCACATTCATGCATATTTCCTGCCACTCAGCAGAATGGCTAAATGCTTAAAATTACGAGTAGCCCTCCTGCCTTCAGGTTTGGGTAACTGAACAGAAAAGACTGATAGAGGGTCTTGAGGGAAACTTTCCCCCCCCTTTATTTTTGACAGTCTTTACATAGATGATTAGGACACAAAGGGTTAAGGGCTACAGGAAAATGGGTAAAGTGAAAGCTTTATTTTTAGATCCAATTTCCTTTTTAATTGAACTTAGTGATTTAAAAAAACAGTTTGAAAACCAGAGAGGAGAGCGGTGACCGTGGTCTTCCAGCCTCTGGTTCATTCCCCAAATGGCCACAATGACCAGAGCTGAGACCTTAATCTGGGTCTGCCTGGGGGGCGCAAGGGCCCAAGGAGTCGGGACCATCTTCCATCGTTATCCCAAACATGTTAGCAGGGAGCTGGAACCTGAACCAGTGCCCATATAGGATGCCACTATGGCAAGTGGAATCCTAGCCCAGTGGCCCCAGATTTACTTTTTATTCTGTGTGTGTGTGCGCACTGTAAAAGATGGATCTTCCTCATGTTAGGCAAAGTTATTATACTTTGTTCCCCTGAGTTATTTTAAATGCCCTGATTTATGCATATAGATGATGCTAACCTTTTCAAAAAGCTCCCTTGCTGTTTTGCACTTGTTTATGTCCCATGAATAATTTCTTTGATGAATACTGCCATCTAGATTGGGTTTTCAAAATGGTTATTAGCTTTTTAATATACCGTGACAGAATCACAGGGTTTCATCCAGAGACAGGTAGTTTAGCTCTGTGTTGTATGTTGTTGTGGGTTGTCATACATTGGTTCAATGTCTAGATTTCTCATGTGGTCACAACAGCCTGATTTCTTGACCGCTTACTGCATCCTCCCAGGGTCTGCCGTAGCGGGGAGCTGGGAGCTGGTGTTGAACCTAGTCATATCTGCACTGTCAGGCCTGTTTCCTCCCAGTAGTCTTCCAGTCCTGATATTGGAGGCTCTATGACCTTTGAGGGGAGAGAGATCTTTGGGTCAAAATCAAAGTCACTTAAGTAAGTTTTTATGTGTTGGGCATTTTTGGATGAATGTTAACCATGGTGTCAACTGTTAGGTGACAATATGTGGTACTACGTTGACTATAGCATACTGCCTGTGAAGGAACAGCAAATTAACTCTTGTTGCCTCTCTAACAGATGTCTTAGTGTGCCTGGCTAACTATAGTCGAGGGGGTGATGGCCCCATGTGCCGCCCAGTAATTCTGTTGCCAGGAGAAGACACTCTTCCCTTCTTAGAGCTCAAAGGATCACGCCACCCCTGCATTACCAAGACATTTTTTGGAGACGACTTTATTCCTAATAACATTCTGATAGGCTGTGAGGAAGATGAGGAAAATCACAAAGCCTATTGTGTGCTTGTTACTGGACCAAATATGGGCGGCAAGTCTACCCTCATGAGACAGGTAACTGATTCTCACTTTGTAAACACTGCAATGTTACATAAAATGAAGTCTCTGGTGTACTAGAAGAAGTGCCTTGTGTTATAAAAGTGGTAGCTCTTGATGAGTGTCAAGCCAGGAGGTACTTTGACTTGACAATTCAGGAGTATAACAATAAGAGCTGTATGAAATCATGTTTGTGGGAATCTTTTTAGGCTGATGGCCAACTTCCTCAGATGAAACTTGGGAAGTGCTTTTAGGGGGAACATGATGTGGCTTTTTGATTTATCTGGGGCTGGTTGCTTGCCCTGCTCTCCTGCACTGTTTGCCACTCATTTGCCACTGAGAACACATCAAAAAAATTCAGTGGATGTATCCTTTGAAATGAATTAATTTGATCCAAAAAGTGAAGGAGAAAGCAGTTTTGAAGAGCTCCCAGGTTAATTCCACTCTGTGGCTTGGGTTAGAAAGCAGGCTCGAGTGCTGTATCTCTCAAGGGTTTTTTAAGTTTGTTGTCTATAGGTATTTTTAATACCAATCATAAAAAGACCTTTTCCTCCCTCATTCACAGGCTGGCCTATTAGCTGTAATGGCCCAGATGGGTTGTTATGTACCTGCTGAAGTGTGTAGGCTCACACCAATTGATAGAGTGTTTACTAGACTTGGTGCCTCAGATAGAATAATGTCAGGTGAGTTTACTTTTTCCACCAAGGGATTTAATGATCTGCCTCTTAAATTTGACTTTAGTGCTTCAGCTGCAGTTTAAGAATCTCAGATTCTTGTCACTTATGTAGCTTGTGCTAAAACTCAAACCTGAAATTGGGATCTTGCTAGGTTTATTATTAACATGACCATGTATTTGATTTTTGTGACTTTTTTTTTAAAAGGTGAAAGCACATTTTTTGTTGAACTGAGTGAGACGGCCAGCATACTTAAGCATGCAACAGCACATTCTCTGGTTCTTGTAGACGAATTAGGTAAGACATTTAAAACATTATGTGAAGCACAAGAGGGCCTTTACTCTTACCTGAGTGAGATCAGAAGGGATCACTTTTTAAAATAACTTTAACTCCACTTTACACCCCAAGGACTGCTTGGATGGATCTGTTCATAGAATCCTGATTCTCTAAGCTTGTTTTGAACCTCCTGCACAGCCTTTTTGATGTTACAAGGCAGATCGTATAACATGCAATGTTCAACTTTCACAGGAAGAGGTACTGCAACCTTTGATGGGACAGCAATAGCAAATGCAGTTGTTAAAGAACTTGCTGAAACTATTAAGTGTCGGACTTTGTTTTCTACTCACTATCATTCATTAGTAGAAGATTATTCTCAAAATGACGCTGTGCGTCTAGGACATATGGTATGTAGAAATAGTTTGTAATCAAAAATTTGGTTTTTGAGACAAAATGGGCACATGAATAGAATAGCTAATTAAGCTTTGTTTTTGTTTTTAAGGCATGCATGGTAGAAAATGAGTGTGAAGACCCCAGTCAGGAGACTATTACCTTTCTCTATAAATTCATTAAGGGAGCTTGTCCTAAGAGTTATGGCTTTAATGCAGCAAGGCTTGCAAATCTTCCAGAGGAGGTCATTCAAAAGGGACATAGAAAAGCAAGAGAATTTGAGAAAATGACTCAGTCACTACGGTTATTTAGGTAATTATGCATTCAGCAGACTGCTAATGGTTGGGAGGAAGTAAAGGGGTGGGGGATGGCCAAAAGTATAAACTAAAAAAATTTTTTTTTAATTTAAGGGAAATTTACCTGGCTACTGAGAGGCCAACTGTAGATGCTGAATCTCTCCGTAAGTTGCTGACTTTGACTAAAGAATTATAGGCTACAACTGGAAACTTTGACTTTTGACGAAGTTGGTAAATTCACACAACATTATGATCTAATAAACTTTATTTTTTAAAAATGACCATTTTTCCATTTTCTTTCTAGGAAATTAAACCCTTTTAATTCTTATCTACCTTCTACATAATGGTTATTGAATACTCCACAATATATTAAGTCTAGATGTTATGGTACATGCATACACTTTCAGGCTGTTTATACCCACTGTCACCAATACACATAAATGGGGGGAGGGGTTATGAAACTGTATAGGGCTGTATATATATACTTGTCTCAGCTTAATGCAGGAAATTGTGAATTTCCAGCAGTTTTGTCTAAACTGTTCAAAAAAAAACTATGAACAGAGCTCCAATACAGGACTGTTTTGAGGAGACTTTCTAAAGTGTACTTTAAAACATAGTAGTTTTTTACCTTTCACAAAACTGAGTTACAAGAATACTTTTGTTTTACAGTGCATCCCTTCCTAGGAAGTCTCATTAAAACACTCACTTTTTCTAAAGGGCAGGGTGATTTTGAATGCTGCACAGGGTAGGAAAGGAAATAATAGTCTTAACTTTTTCTTAAAGGATACCAGAAACATTGCTGGATATAATTTAAGATTAGTGTTTTCTCTTTCATAGAAAGAACGTACATACTGGGACATGAGTACAGTTACAGCAAGTCTAGGTGTGCTAACAAAACAGGGCACATTCAAGTACAATAAGATTTTGCTTGAAATTAAAAACAAACTACATGAGATTAAAGCATTAAAATCATATTTCTCAATCTGAATACATGTTTTTAAAAAATTCAAAAGAAACGCCAGAAGTGCTAGCTCACATTTTTACCATATTACAAAAGCAATTGGTACCCATGTCCATAAAGGCAGCAACAAAGCTGCTTGTCTATTGGAGATTACTACTGCAAATTGGACTGCATTCAATGCTAGTTGTAAAAACACCAGCTTTTCAGAAGTTGGTATCTGTACAAAATTGCAGCTTATTTTCTTCACTTCTGTCCCTTCAAAAGTCTTTACACCGTAATGCTAAAACACCCAGCTTTGAGATCCTGAGTCAATATATTGCCACTTTCTTTTTGGTAGCTTGAGCTTCATAGTGTCAACTGACCTTGTGTATCCATTTTTTTTAATACAGTCTGTTCCTGTAGCATGGGCAAATATTTTAAATCTTCTTCCAAAAATGTTTTAAGTTATGATGTTAGAATGGCAGGACTTTTTTCTTTAGGGAAGGAATTCAGTTGTGCTGCAATGTATTAGATTCTATAGGTGGAGCAGAGTCATATAGTGTATCTGTATCATGTGTAGGCTCACCAGCTAATGTACAAGGGTTAGACAGTGTTCCAGCACCACAGTCACAGAAAAACCTAAAGCAAAAATGAAAACCCAAAAATTAGGATAAAGCGAAGGGGAAAATAGTTGAGTAACATAGCAAGCAAGTGTGCTACATACCTATCATGTCTAATAAATTCTACATCATGTCCCTGATGGCACTTCTTAATGCAGTTCACACATATGGCATTTCGATCTGTGGTGTTACACGTATGACATCTGAAAAGCAAAACCTTAGGTTACTTTTCTCAAACACGTCATTAATTAAATATTGTTTAAAATCCCATTGTTTGGTATCTAATTTCTGGGCTTGACTTAGAGGGGAGCTGTTACACCCTATCAAACAATGAGTACACAGATCCTAGCGTGGCTCATTTTAGTTTATGCTTGCACCCTTCCCCTTCTCAAGACTCAAATAATTTAGAAAAATACCTGTAGAAATCATGCATGGGATAGCTGGTGTAACTTGATATTTTATATAAACATTGGCCTCTACTAACAGCCTTTTCTATGGCATCTTGATTGTTCATTATTTTGTTATCTGCAATAAAAGAAAAATGAATAAATGATCCATGACAACACAAAACTGAAGATTATTTTCAAGAGCTTTTAAATGATGCTAACCAATGAGGTAATTTTTAAAGGTCAGCTAATAGATGCAGCAACAGTTCAGAGAAACTTTACATCTTGGATTCTTTCCAAATCTCTAACTGCTGCTAGCTTGCAGTGTGACAGAAGGAATCCAGCAGTAGCTCCTGATTGTTTTCATGGTATATTGCATGTATCTATAGGCAGAATAACATACCTTTCATTGTCACATTAACACCAGATGCTAAAAATAAGCCTCCAAACCGGTTGTTAAAAATCTGATTGCCTTCTAGTGTTGCAGTTGCATGATTTGTAATTTCAATACCTGAAGTGAAATTTTACAAGTAAGTACAAGCATCACTTTATACATACATACTGTTCACTGAAAGACTAAAAAATAACTCCTCTGCAGCTGCTTTCTACATTCACTCACAGCACTACACAGCTAATTTTTATTAATGGCATCTTTAAATCTATGCCGACTTACTTGAAGTATGTATATATTTGGTTATAACCATCGTTTGTGTGTGTGCATATGTGCTCCTAGTAGCAATACAACTTATTCCAATTAAGAGTTCTTGGGTTTGGCTCAGGGTGGATAAATCCAGAAGCTGGCTTCTATTAATGAATGGGGTCATAGCAAAAAGCAAACTGCACATGTATAAACAAGCCACAGGCAAGGAAAGGAAAGTACAAACCTGCAGCAAATCCATCAAATATTCTGTTTTTCCTTAAGACTGGATGACTATTAGTGCTGATGAGAACGCCTGCTTGAGCATTCCTGAAAATATCATTTTCTTCAAGGAGACCTATAATAAAATATTTCCTTAGATTAAGCCTAATGCATGTGACAAATATTAGCCTTTCTTGGTTCATATTTAATACATTTTCTTTTTGAGATGTACAATAGTTAGAATGTTAAAAGATATTTTCTCCAAAATAACCTGTAAGAATGTACTAACCCATAAACGAAGCTTACTAGCAGGGTCGAAATCCAAGGTAACTTATTCCTAGTACCCAGTACCCAGTACCCAGTACATGGCTCATTCTCAATGAATATCAATGTCCCTTTGCTTAATATCAACTGTTTCTGGAAGATATTCAGTTAGCCTTCATCTTCTGTTATATTAACCTGGACTAAAGTTGACTTTGTCTTTTATACAGTTTCCTAGTTCTGTTTGGCTGAACACCAACTATGGATATCCTATATTCCTTTTTCTGGTAAAAAGTGCAAGCTAATCCAGAATGTTTAATACTGGATTTAACTTTCCCCTTCAACCCTCCTGCTTAATCAGTGACCTAGTCCCGATCTATACCTTTCCTAACATATGTGTCCCCACCTTTTTCCACCTGCATGCTATTTATTTCAGGCACTATTGGTTGCCTCTCAAACTCCGTACTGCATGTAGAGAAACCCCATTTCCCAGCTTCAACTGCGTATCTCCTTACCTTACTGAGTCACTCTGAGTTTATAGGCATACTGCTTTTTTGATTCACCTTTTAGCACATTAGTAGAAGAAATAAAAGAGTACAAAACTTAAGCTAGGAACAGCCTGCTCACTCACCATCTTCTGTTTACCATGAATGCCCACATGAAGTCCAGCCCAACGATGATTTTATTACACAAACCTCTTACATACAACCATTCTGTGTTGTACAGTGTCATATGTGGCCCAAACTCCTATCAGATGCCACTTTAGAAATAGTCTTTCATTGATGGGATCATCACTGCTCACTGAATTTTAGACAGTGCTGGGTAATTTACTTGGGAAGTGATGGGTTTGCATTTACCATTCTCCAGTCCATAAACAGCATGGATTTGTAAGGGTACTGTGGAACTTTTGCCTCAATGCCAGAGTTGACCTGGATTAGATACCTATCCAGGCACACCTTGTCTTCATTAATTTCAGTGTCCAATGAACAGTTGTAAGCAGTTACGAAAGCAATACTCACTGGTATGACAAGCATTTACAAACCAATTAATTTGCACACCTAGTTCTATGAAGTTTATTGTAAACATGTCACTATTCTGAAAAAAAGGTCAAGAGAGGATATGAACAAATTTGCTATCTTAAAGGCCTCAACTAGCAAAGTCAAGATGGCTACAAAACAACTACTGTGAACATTCATCTCCTTTTAAGCACTTAGCTGTTGAACCATGAAAATTAATCTGTAATGTAATTTCTATTAGTTGACAGTGTCACTGATCATTAAAGATATGGAAGAATAACGGAGAACTGGGTTTTTCACTAATGCAAAATTAACAACAATACCTCGACCCCCATTAAATATACAGATGCCACCATCTCTTCCATCATGGATTTTGTTTCTTCTTAGTGTAGGATTACTATCTGTTTTAATCCAGACTCCAGCCATTGCATTGTCAAATATTTCATTGTCTTCTATACAGCCTAGACCTATAAGTGCAAAAATTTAGGATTATTTTTTGAAAAACAGATAGATTAGCTGCTGGTTCATTCCCAAGAGGCCAGAATTCCATCCAGGGCGCCCTCCCAGGTAGCAGGGGCACAAGAATTTGGCATCTCCTGCTGCCTCCCAGGATGCATTAGCTGAATCAAGAGCAGCTGGGCCTTTGTGGCCTGGGAGTCACAAAGGATAGCCTAATCCACAGTGCCACTGTGCCCTCCCCTCACGGTAACTACAGGACAAATCTATTCATAGAGGGGGATGATAAAAACCCTGACTTACCAGAATTATAAACTAGAATTCCACCGTTCTGTCCTCCCCAGATTTTGTTGCGCCTAATTTTGGGGTTACTTCCAGTCCTATGGAAAATGGAAATCCACATTACAGTACTCACACTACCCAATACAATAAAGTTCAGAGAAATTCAGTTGCTTCACCATGCATGCGCTTTCCCCCAAAGTACACTTCACTACAGATGATGCTGTTACAGTCACCAAATACATTAAGTAAGCTGGGGGGGGGGGATTAAATGCTTATTTTGATAGAAACTCCCTATTAAATAGAAAATGAAGATTGACGTATATGATAATTAGGACTAATTTCAAAAGGGATATAAAAACTACAAATTACATAGAACCAGCACAAAGACAGATGCTTTGATTTTACTCTGCACCAACTACACATGCAATATTTTTAAATAGACTCGCCAGTTGAGTTCAAAG